GTATAAATATATATTTTTATAAATTAAATTTCAAATATCAAATAATTGAATGATGAAAATTATGTAAAATTTTAAAGTTGAGGGACTAAAGTTGACATTTAACCTTTCCTAATTTGTGTTTCCAAAAAAATCCTCCTCCCCCCTGCTCTGCTAGTCGCCGGAGCTGAGTTGAGAAACTGTTCTCGGTTTTTTTTCTTTTTTAATTTGTGAAAATTGTTTCTTTCCTTCCCTTGTTTTCTTTATTTATCTTTTTCTTTCTTTCTTTCATTTTTTTTTGCAATTGCAAGGTAATTAAGATTAAGAAGCCCTTAGCCCAAAACGACATTGTTTTGGGTTAGGAATCCTTTTTTTTTTATTTGTCATAGTGTATAATAGCCAAAATTTCAGTGTATCGATTGATATATCAGATTTTAATCAAATTACCTAAATTTGGACCAAAATGAATTTTCATATTATACCATTTCAGTCAATACAGAAAACCAATATGGAACGAAATTGGTAACTTAGCTATGACCCCTTCATGTCCCCCTTTCATTAATAACGTAATTCAAATAAGAAAAAAAAATTCATTTTTTTCTCTCAATTTTCTTCCTTTCTCTTCTAAATCTCATAATTCAAACTCACTCTTACCATCTTTTAAATAATTATTATTATTAATACAAAACGGGGAAGTGAGAGACCTCTTTCACACTCTCAAGCCGTGGATCCAAACTCATTTTTAATTAATTGATCCCAAAAAAAAAAAAAAAAAAACACTCATTCTTAATTAAAACAGAACCATAATAAAATGCTATGTCATGTATGAACACATCAGCAAGTTTCATGGCATACACTAGCGGAATCTGTTTGACACGTCCACACGAACATCCATTTAGTAAAATTATAAAAGTTTATATCCTTAATTAAAAGTTTTTGAAAAATAACGGTCTTGATAAGTAAAAAAATATTAGTCCTTATTTAGTATAAAAATCATATCCTTAAATGGAATAAATCTTTTTCGAATATTCGCAAACTTTTTCAGTCCTTGTCATTGTCCTATGTAATTTTTGACTCTGCGCGTATTTTTCACGTGCAAGGATATTTCTGAAATTAAGTGAAATTTAGTTAATTATTAGCAAATACCAGGTTGGATGAAAAAGTTTATAAAAAGCATAAAGAAATTGTGACTCAATCATTTACCTTTGAATTCCTCGTTGTGGTGACCTGTAAGTAGAGTTACGTTGGTCCCAGCGTGCAATGGAGGTGGAAGGGTGCCAGGGAAAAGATGGCCGTGGGAGAGGTGAGTTTAGAAGAGGACGAGAAGGAAGGGATGATTATCATCAGCATCGCTATCAGGATCAGAGGGTCTCTGGGAAACGACATGGAGGGGCCCAAAGGAAATCGGGGGATCGTGATGTTTTCAGTCATGGAGGTGAAGGGGAAGAGTCCGGCAGAGGTGGGTATGGTGGTCGTGAATGGAGAAGGAGTGAGCGCCATCCTTATCGTCGGCATTATCATCCTTATCGTCGGCATCATGGCCAAGGACATAGTGGGGCTCAAGGGTATCTGGCGGCTGGTGAGGAATTCAGTTACGGTGGTAGAGATGGGTCGTCCAGTGGTCGTGGAGAGAAATGGAGAGGAGGAGAAAGCCCGCAGCAACAACATTATCATCACCAGGATGAGAGGGTTTCAGGGCAAAGTTGGGCCCAGGAGACGCCGGTTGCATGTCAGGGTTTCAGACATGATGGTGAAGATGTGTCTGACAGAGTTGGGTACGGTGGTCGTGGAGGCGGAGAAAGAGGAATTCGGAGGAGGTCGCCCGCTGCGTCATACTCTCAAGCTGGCCCGGACCTGGACAGATCTTCTCCTGCTCCAGATCCCGTTCCAAGTATGAATGAATCCATCCTTTTCTCAATCATTACCTTAAGATCATTTGCATTATTTAGTATGTGGAATTGGGTTTGGATCATAATCCTAAAAATTTAGAATTTTAGTTTATGCATGATTTATGATGGTTTCTTCCTATTCACGTTCTTGACTCAATTTTTATTGTCCATAGGGGGAATGGGGGATGATTCATTTATTGCAGAACACAAATGGTATCCAATAATGGTTTTTGGGATAATTCATAATTAGGATATGTAATCATTGTGTCATTATTGGAACCAGTTTATTGTTCTTTAACTTCCACTGTTCATTTTGTTGTTTTCCACGGACGGTTTTTCTGATTGCTTCTATGTTGTTCTTTGAGTGTTATTGTATGCTTCTTGCTAGCCAGGTTGACATCATTTTCTTAACTTTTGCAGATCCTATTATTAGAGACATGCAAACAGGGAGAATTCCAGAACAAGTGCCTACAGTATTGTCTTCTCCAGAGAATATGAGTAGAACTGTCCCAGTTAAGCGGCCTGATAAAGGTGGCCAATTATGCATTCGAACTGTTCGGCTCCATGTCAACCATTTTCCTGTCAGGTTCAACCCTCACAGCATCATTAGGCACTATGATATTGATGTCAAACCAGCTGAACCGAAGAAAAATGGTCGGCCTGAGAAAATATCTAAGTCTGACCTATCTGTGATCCGAAACAAGCTTTTTATGGATAATCCCTCTCAATTTCCACTGTCTATGACTGCATATGATGGTGAGAAAAACATATTTAGTGCAGTTAATTTACCAGAAGGAAAATTTATGGTGCAATTCTCAGAGGGGGAAGATATGAAGCATCGCACCTATGAATTTTCTATAAAGCTTGTGAGTGAGCTCAAACTCTGCAAGTTGAGGGATTACTTGAGTAGGAACCTCTTCTCAATTCCCCGTGACATATTGCAAGGAATGGATGTGGTAATCAAGGAGAAGCCAGCCAAGTGTATGATCCCTGTTGGCAGGAGCTTCCATTTTGCTGAACATCATGCTGATGATGACCTTGGATTGGGCATCACCGTATCTAGAGGAATTCAATATAGCCTCAAGCCCACTGTCCAGGGTCTAGCATTGTGTTTAGACTACTCTGTTTTGGCATTTCGTAAGCGAATGCCGGTTTTAGATTTTCTGATGGAGCATATTCGTGGCTTTGATTTAAATAATTTCAATATGTTTAGGAGAGACGTTGAGCAGGCTTTGAAGAACTTGAAAGTTACAGTGACTCATCGTATAACAAAACAAAAATATACTATTGTTGGGCTGACTAGGGAGAAGACTCGAGATCTTTGCTTTCCTCTTGTAGACACTGATGAGGGGAATGCAGCACCAAGGCCTGTTTTCCTAGTTGATTATTTCCGGGAAAAACATGGAAGGAATATCTTGTATCTGGATATTCCTTGCCTAAATGTGAGTAGGAGCAAGCGGGTGAACTACTTACCAATGGAGTTCTGTGTCTTAGCTGAGGGGCAGATATATCCAAAAGAGGTTTTGGAAAGCTTGGACGAAGGTAGAGCTGGATTTTTGAAGCGAATTTCACTAGTAAGACCGAAGGAAAGGGCGAGGAGGATACATGACATGGTACGGTCCAGTGATGGACCTTGCAGGTATTTACACACAACAAAAAAATGGCCTTTTGTTTTGTTTATATTAACATTGTCCGTTGCACACATGAATTTTATGTTTGTAATAGCATGCACAAATACTATAGTTGTTGCTTTAACTTTTAACATCTTTGATGCCATTTTGTCCATTATCATAATTAAATAATGTACTACTTTATGTAACAGTTAATTTGAATGCCTGAAGTTTCTAATACTGTTGTGTTTTGGGTTTCCCTTTTTTACCTTTCCCTTTGTTTACCTTCTTGTAAATGATATTATTTATTGTTTTCCACATAATTGTGTAATAAATGTTCACACTAATCTATTGATGCACTTGCTTTCCATGCTGTTTAGTAGTTTGACAAGTCTATGATTAGCTACTATGGAAAAGTTACCATGCATGTAAAGGAGTGATTTAAAATGACTGGTGCTGAAATTTTTGACGTGCTGTTATGTTGCTTTTGATGTTTGCAATTAATCAAAGTTTGGTCTGATTATGTAGATCACATCCTTCCGTATCCAAATCTTCAAAGTAATTTTATGCTTATCCCAATTTCATGATTGCCTGATTGTGTATTATGGTGCTTCAAATGTCATTTTTATGCCTTCCTATCTGAATTTTATGCTTGCCTGATTGTGTAACATGTTTTCTCATGTTTCATATATTTTTGTTGATGGCAGTGGAGAGATAATCCAAAATTTTGGAATTGAAATTGACAAGAACATGACATCAGTGTTCGGACGTGTTATTGGGCCTCCTATGTTGAAGCTTGCTACCACCACTGGCAAGGAGATCAATGTATCAGTTGACAAAGAAAAGTGCCACTGGAACTTGGTTGGTAAAGCAGTGGTGGAAGGCAGAGCAGTTGAGCGCTGGGCTGTGCTTGATTTCACCGAAAATGATCGATTTCAATGGAATCGTGGTCAATTCGTTCGAAAATTGATTGCTAAATGCAGGAGTCTGGGGATGAAAATGGGGGAGCATCTTTTTTATCATTGCACAGTGATGAAAAAACTTTCTAACATTGATGTGCTTCGTGAATTGCTCGAAGGTCTTAGTAATCAAGCTTATAAGACGAAAGGCCATTTACAAATTCTAATTTGTGTAATGACAAGGAAAGATGAGGGCTACAAGTATCTCAAGTGGATCTCTGAAACTAGACTCGGTTTGGTAACTCAATGTTGTTTATCCAACAATATTGCGAAAAAAGGTGACCAGTATCTTTCTAATCTTGCTTTGAAGATCAATGCTAAGCTTGGGGGCAGCAATGTGGAGTTGATTGACCGGCTTCCTTACTTCCGAGGTGATAGCTCTGTTATGTTTGTGGGAGCTGATGTTAATCATCCTGGTTCACGCAATAAAACTAGCCCTTCAATCGCAGCTGTGGTAGCCACTGTGAATTGGCCTGCAGCGAATCGCTATGCGGCTCGGGTTCGTCCCCAGGAACATCGTAAGGAGAAGATACTACATTTTGGGGAAATGTGTTTAGATCTTGTTAGATACTATGCTTTCAGAAATAAGGTCAAACCCGAAAAAATTGTGATATTCCGCGATGGCGTGAGTGAAGGTCAGTTTGATATGGTCCTCAATGAAGAGCTAGTAGATCTCAAGAAGGCATTCCTGGCAGTGAATTACAATCCGACTATCACTCTCATTGTCGCTCAAAAGCGGCATCAAACTCGTTTGTTTCCAGAGAACGAGAGGGATGGGAACGTGCCTCCTGGCACCGTTGTGGATACTACAATTGTGCATCCTTTTGAGTTTGACTTCTATCTTTGCAGTCACTATGGAAACTTGGGCACCAGCAAACCCACACATTATTACGTGTTGTGGGATGAGCATGGGATTTCATCCGATGAACTGCAGCAGCTCATTTACAACCTGTGCTTCACATTTTCGCGGTGCACAAAACCAGTATCATTGGTCCCACCAGTGTACTATGCTGATCTTGTTGCATATAGGGGTCAGATGTACCATGAAGCAGTGATTGAAGGACAGTCTTCAGTTTCAACATCTTTTGATGAGAGGTTCTTCAAGCTGCACACCGATTTGGAGAACGCAATGTTTTTTGTCTGAACAAAGCAAGATGCCAACTCCCTCCATGAACAATTGGGATGGAGATGGCTCCTCTCTTTTGTTGAATTGCCCAAATCACGGGTTTACTCCTTTAACTAAACGTAAAGGGGTTTGTGCGCGAATCTAATGGGTAGTACACACCATGGGACTTTAGGGAATGGTATTTTGCTTTGGACTTATGCATCAGACTTGAATTATGATAATATAGTGGGACTCAATTTCTCTGTAATGATTGCTTTGTGGATTTCCAGCTTGACTACTCCATTACAGCCTCAAGTGGAGAAAGTTAAAAATTTTAATTGCTTAGTTGGAATGAATACAAAAGAATTCGAATGGTTCCAAATTCTCTTGTTCATTGAATGAATTCAATCCATCCAAATATAGATATAAAATGGTCATCCTCTTTCGGCTATCTCCCCCACTAAACACTATGTTGAAATTGAATTCCACGTAGGGAAGAAAAGAAAGACAACTTATACAGCACAAAAGTTGATGACCAAGGATCATGAAGTTTTCATATACGTCATAGTACTACAACTCTTTCATCAATCACACTTTTCTATGTTATGATTGGTACTTTACACGCGCAACGTCCATCCAAAAGGAATTCTGATTTTGTAGGCTAGGTTGTTATAAGCTAAAACTTTCTCCAATTCTGAGACAGCACCTGATTCACATATTCTCCTCTGGGTTGTTCGTTGTTTAACAAAGGTGATGGAACGAGGTGGCTGCAGAGGGAGAAGAGGTGGCTATGGCAGCCGTGGAAGGGGTGGAGGTAGAAGAGAAGGAGGTGGTCATGATCATCATCCGCAGCAGTGGCAGTCGGGTAGAAGGTCAAGCCATTGGAGGAACCAGGATCATGTGGGTCGTAGCCAAAGTGGCTCCCAAATGAACCATGTCGGTACCAGCCGTCATCCGGATGGTGATGGAACAGGGTGCTGGAGGTCTAGTGGCTGGAGGAGTATTCCCTTTTCCCAAGTGCTGTCACAGAGATCCTCTGTTTCATCTGAATGCCTAGCGCCTGGTACTCAACTCTGTACTATTTCCTTGGTTTTTTTTTTTTTTGGCTGTGTATTCATTTTATTTTTGCTAATAATATATGAAAGAAAGTGGAAAGGGGTAAAAAAATGGATTTGTGGTTCAAAATCTTATTCTTTTTGTCTTTCTGTAACAAATAAGAATCATTCGTGAAATCCAATCGACTTACATCTTGTGAATATCATTCAAAACTCATCTAAAAAAATAGTTTTTTCAAAATCAAAAATAGAAAAAAAAGAGTAGTTTTTTCTATTTTGGCCTCTTAATATCTGAAGTAGTTTGATGGTGTTAATTATTTAAGAACTTGTTTCAGGTTCTAGATCGATCTTTTCTTGTTTCAGTTATTTTTTTTAGCAGTTTCCATACTTGCTAGTATAAAGATTTTCAGAAAATTTGACCATAAGATGTATAGTTTCTGTGAGGAAATTTTTGGTCATCACTGCTAATGATAGTATATGTAATTATGTATCCAATTATCCATCATTTTTAGATTGAAGTAATTTTTACAATTTCTTCACAGAGCATTTGCCTGCTTCATCTTCATCTCCAGAAAATGTCCGTAGGTTTCTGCCTATGAATCGACCTGATGCAGGTACTCATGCTATGCGGAAAGTTGGAATTCATGTCAATCATTTTCCTGTAAATTTTGCAGCAGAAATGATAATAAGGCACTATAATTTTGATATCAAACAACAAGAGTCCTCCAGCAAAGGCAGGTCTGTGAAAATACCAAAGTTTAACTTGTCCATGATTTGGAACAAGTTATCTTCAGAGGAGCCTAAAAACTTTCCCTTGGACATGACTGCCTATGATGGTGGGAACAATATCTTTAGTGCTGTAGAGCTGCGCACTAGAGAATTTGTTGTGAAACTATCTGAGGTTTCATATGTTGTGTCTGTAAAGCTTGTGAATGAACTCAGGCTTTCCGAGTTGAAGGATTATTTAAGTGGGACTGGGAAAGTCATGTCAGTTCCACGTGATATATTGCAAGCAATGGATTTGGCTATGAAGGAAAATCCGAAAAGGTATGCTATCCCCTTTAGATCCCATCAAGGAAGTGATGTTGGACGGGGCATCCTAGCTTCTCAAGAACCTCTATATCGATTGAAGCCTACTTCTCAGGGTTTAGTCTTGGTCCTGGACTACTCAGTTTTCCCATTTCTGAAGCCAGTGCCTGTTATAGATTACCTGAAGGAGCATATTGAAGGTTTTGATATAAACCAGTTTGAAATCTTTCAGAATAAGGTCAAAGGTGAACTAAAGGGATTCAAGGTTTATAAAACTTATCTTGGAACCAAACATAGCTATGTGATTGCTGGATTGACGAAGAACGCACGACAAATTTCATTTACGATTAAAGATTGGAAGTGCAATGATCCAGCAAGGGATGTTCTCCTTGTTGATTACTTCAGGGATAGATATAAGAAAGAAATTGTGTACAAAGATATTCCCTGCTTGGATTTAGGGAAACACAATCACGTGCCACTGGAGTTGTGTGTTTTAGCTGAAATGCAAAGATGTCCAAAGGAGAAGCTGGACAGACATGCAACTAACAAGTTGAGGGAATTATCCCTGCCGAAGGTAAGAGAGAAGAAAATATGCGATTTGGTTCAGGCAAGAGACGGACCTTGTGGGTAAATTCCAACGAACTCAAGCCTCTATTTAGAATCTATTTAGAGCAAGTTCATTCTCTCATTCATATATACTCCTTGCACTTCTTATTTTCTTTTCCTTTATAAAACTAACTATGGCAAATTGCCGATGCAAGCATAAGATGCTACATTTTTTTGTCATTGTGATAGTGATAGTGCACTTTCTTTTAAAGCATTGGAACTTAATTTATCTGAATTAACAAAACTTTCTAGTGGCAGTAACTTCGCTAGTACATAATCTGATGAAGTTTTAGTAGGCGAATAGAAAAAACTCAATGCACCGTTTACAAGCTGGTGGTTTAGGTCTTTATAACAAATGGATATAAACTTTGCTCATCTTGTTGTCCAGTATCCATGATTTGCTTTTATGCACTGAACTTGTGACATAAAAATAGACTCATTACATATAATGCTATCAAGTTGTCATTTGTTTTACTATTTTCAGGGGAATCATTGCACAGAATTTTGGAATTGCAGTTGACAGGAGCATGACCAAAGTGACTGGCCGCATTATCAGCCCACCTGAGTTGAAGGTTGGTGTTCCTGGGGGTGGGTGGACTAGGACACCACTCAACAGTAAGAAATGTGATTGGAACCTGGTACAGAAATGTGTAGTTGAAGGAAAACAAATTGAGAAGTGGGCTGTGCTTGATTTTACTTATTCTGAATCTGATCAAAACAAATTTAAACCACGCCTGTTCATCCCAAAGCTTATTGATCGCTGTGAAGCTCTTGGGATCCGCATGAAGGAACCTTCATTATATGAGGCAGCTGAAATGTGTCAATTGCATAATGTGGACATGATCTTGGAGCTCCTGGAAAGCATTAAGGCTCGGTCCAATATAGGGAAAGGATATCTGCAATTTATTCTTTGTGTGATGTCTAGAGAGCATCCTGGTTACAAGTATCTTAAGTGGGTCTCTGAGACCAGAATTGGTATAATGACTCAATGTTGTTTGTCCACAAAAAGAGTGAATGATCCGTACCTTGCTCATCTTGCTCTCAGTATAAATGCCAAGCTTGGAGGCAGTAATGTGGAGCTTTTAACATCACTCCCTGGCTTTGAAGGTAAAGGAAATGTGATGTTAGTCGGTGCTGATGTAAGTCACCCTGGCTCGAAGAATTTGACAAGCCCATCAATCGCAGCTGTAGTAGGCTCTATGAACTGGCCTACCCCAAACCGCTATGTGGCCCGAATTCGCCCTCAAGACCCTCGAACGGAGAAGATTCAGGATTTCGGGGAGATGTGTTTGGAGCTTCTTGAATCTTATGTAAAGGTAAATAAAGTCAGGCCAGATAAAATTGTGATATTTCGGGATGGGGTGAGTGAATGGCAATTTGATATGGTTCTTAATGTGGAGCTAAGTGGCCTCAAGAAAGCATTTCGAGCACTGAATTATGTCCCAACAATTACACTTGTTGTAGCTCAGAAGCGACATCTAACTCGGTTCTTTCCAGAGACCAAAGAAGATGGTTGTTCCGCTGGAAATGTGCTTCCAGGAACTGTTGTTGACACAACAGTTGATGATTTTTCCAGGTTTAATTTCTATCTTTGCAGCCACTATGGTAACATTGGAACCAGCAAGCCAACACATTACCAAGTCCTCTGGGATGAACATGGATTTACTAGTGATCGCATTCAGCAGCTCATATATAGCTTGTGTTTCACTTCTGCTCGGTGCACTAAACCTGTCTCGTTGGTCCCACCAGTGTACTATGCTGACCTTGCTGCATATAGAGGCCAACTTTACCGGGAAGCATTGATGGACTGGCATTCTCAAGCTTCATCAACATCTTCATCATCTAAATCAATTGGAGCTGCGTTTGACAAGCATTTGTATAAGGTCTGTCCAAACCTAGAGGATGCGATGTTCTTCATTTAGAAATTAAGGCCTGTTGGAACTGTCCTTAAACTCCTTTCCTGGTCGGGCTGTGATAACTCCTAGTTTGAGGGAAAAGTTCAGGAGATGTTACCAACTTAATAGTAGTTCTTCAGGAACTTATTCCCCTGGTCTGAATGTGGGATTTTCATGTTGAAGGTCTTGGTTTTAAAATCCTGGGGATGGTCTAGAAAGGTTTACTGGATATGGGAGCAATCATTTTATTTTGGAAATAATCTACTTCGATCAGATATAAACATGTTTGATCTTACAAATCCTGCCTATGGGTAAAAGCAAAACACATTTACACGTACTCAGCAAGTGAAAAAGGAAACGATCTAATGAGTTAAATTTACTCTAAGAAGAGTATTAGTAAGTTTTTACTCTATGAAAATTATTAGTTAGTTTAAATGATATAATGATAAAAATCAAATATTATCTTGTAGAGATTGTCAACTAATTAAGTACTAAAATTAATTAATTTTAATTTTATTTGAACAACTAAATTTAAATGATTAAAATAAACTAATTAAGTGTACTAATTAAAGAAAAACTAAATCAATTTAAATTCTATTAAGAGTTAAAATTTTAAGATATTTGATTTTACCATAATCAACTAATATGAAATTTAGATTAATATATTTTCAAGATTTTTATTACTCATAACTATAGGATTTTTTATTTTATTTATTATATTTTCTCAAGTTACATCAAATATATTTTCATGTACGTACTTGGGTCTCACAAGTCAACAGTTATAAGTCGACTCGTAAAATGCATCCTCCTAGCCCTCGAGTTAGGATTCGAATCCCCCCACCCCAAAAATATATTTTTATTTATTAACCCACTATATCTTTATTTAAATTTAAATAGATAAAAATACATTATATCTTGTAAAATTTTTTAATTTACATAAAAAATTAAATCT